GCCCCCCCAACTGTTTTTGTCTGGTTTTGAGAGGCACTAGAAAACATTTCAAGTTACATGTGGTACTAATTGGAATAACATGTCTAATTCTTTCTTTTTGGCTCAAATTTTTTTCATTAGATTTATTATAAATATAAATATTTATATCTGCTATTTGGACTTTAAGTTGTGGTGATTTACTAGTTCTCATTTGGGAATGATTTAATGTTGATTTTGTTAAAGTTTATAATTTCTCTAAATAGTAGTGTGTAAAATTAATGCCAAGTGAGTTGTCTTCTTTTAGTTGAAAATTTAAAATTCCACATGTACTGTTAGGAACAGAAGAAAGAAGGTACCATACAATGCTAGAAGTCTTTTCTCTTTTGAAGTACAAGATAGTCTTTGATCAGGTCGTATGTGTAACGGGGATCTGTAGTCATTCAAACCTGGGATCAAAACCTGGCCTGGCACAAATTAGCTTTGCAATCCTACAGAATTTATGTAACCCCTTTCTACCTCAGTTTACCATCTGTGAAACGTAGTTAATAATATCTTTTTCTCAGTGTTTGAGGATCAGGGAAAAAAGTGCCTGAAGCAGTGTCTGTTTTACAGTAGGCACCCAATGGCAGTTATTAACTTTTTTCCTTTTCACTCTCTCATTTTACAAGGGATTTGAAGTCATTTTGGAGCACATTTACATTGCAAATGATAAGATTGGGATAAAGAAATAATGAAAGGAAAACATGTTCCCATACAGTTCCTAAAGGAAGAAAAAAAATTGTTTCTGAGATTTTCTGCAGCAACAGCAAAGAATAAAACTTGATCCATTACGAGGTGTATAGTGTGCGTAAGATAAAGAATATGTTTCTCCTGAATTGATTTGCTTTTATGAGGAAAAAAACCTGAGAGAAGTTGCCTGCATGAGTTCTTAGAAGGAGAATATCTTGTGATATGGTGGACAGGTCCCAGACAGCTTTCCAAAGTAAAAATAATGATTAATTTCTAAGTCTGTGTTTTAGTTGTGTTCTTCAGTGCAAGCCGTAAAGAATTCTAGTCCAAGTGAGAAAAGGCAGTTCTTCAGAAGATCATGAAACAGCGAGGTCCAACTAAAAATCTTCTGTTGTTATAATTCAATGCAAGGATATAATTGAGAAGATCTAGAAGAATGCATGGAGTACATACCCTTCTGGGCATTATTTTGGCTGTTCTGTTTCTCACATCTGGGCTTCTGATAAGGAATAGACATCAGAGAACTGGTATTATCAGACAAGAACTTGATATAAAGGCAGTCTTCATTGATAGTAATGAAGGTTATGCTTCCCTAATCTTTGATAGTTTATAAAAAAGGTAAATTTAAGGCCAATTTATGAAAATTTAGAAACCTAACTAAAACATAACCATTGCTTACTCTTAAGATTTATTCATCTATTTAACAAATATTTTTTGAAGTTAACACTGCTAACTTCTCAAGTTGGGATGAATTTGGAGTTGATGTGAAAGGTGAATGCTGTGGATTGGTAATGACTTCTTGGAACATTGTTTTGAAGATAATAAGAATTCTGCAGGTAGTGAGCTCAGGAGGAATCTTTGCACTTATCGGTAAAGATAAGATTCATATACCTGTTCAATCCCATATGAAGATAATTAGTGTATAGTACCTGCTGCCAGGATGCTCAGAGTCTAAGGCAGAGAAGGGCTTGTGGACAGTTATAATGCGAGGTAGTGCAGTGCAGTGATCATGAGTGCCGCAATGAGGAAATGTCTGTGGGACTTCAGGAGCATGCAGTGACTAGTTTTTGTGTAGAATAGTGGAGAATAAAGGAAGTTACCATTGAACTGATTCTTTTTTTTTCTTGTCTATTTTTTTTTCTTAATTGACCCATGATAATTGTATATATTATGGAATACAGTGTAATATTTGGGTACATATATACAGTGTGCAGTGGTCATAGCAGGGTTGAACTGTTTCTAAAATATGACTATAGAGATTGCAGAGAAATGATTACTATAGGTGGATGGTCTGTATTCCAGATGGAAAAAATGGCATGTGCAAAAGCATGTGTTGGAAGGGTATGGCATTTTCAGAGAACTACTCCTAAGTTCACCATAGCTGGATTGCTGGGTCATATTGAGGAATAAGTAGATGTGATCTCTAACTCTAGATATCAGAACTATCACATATGCAGTTTAAGATAAAGGGAGGATGGCTGTTAGCTTAAAGTGAGACTCTTTTTCTTTCTTTCTTTTTGGTGGCTGGTGGGTACAGGGATCGAACCCTGGGCCTTGGTGTTATCAGCACCATGCTCTAACTGGCTGAGCTAACTGGCCAGCCCTAAAGTGAGACTCTTAATCAGACTGTCCAAAATAGAATCTGGAGGTACAGTAGGCCTTCTGTATCTGCAAGTTCTGCATCCCTGTATTCAACCATCCGCAGGTCAAAAGTGTTTGGAAAAAATAAATAATAGCAATATAACAATAAAAAAAAAATACAAATAAAAAATAATACAGTGTAACAACTAAAAAACTTTATATAGCATTTATATTGTATTAAGTTATTAGTAATCTAGAGATAATTTAAAGTATATGGGAGGATATGCACAGGTTATAAGCAAATACTACACTATTTTGTATAAGTGACTTGAGCATCTGCAGATTTTGGTATCCATGGAGGGTCCTAGAACCAATCCCCCACTGATATTGAGTGATGACTGTATTCATCTCTGTCATTTGGAATGATCAAGCTGAAGCTGATTATAGTCATCTGTCAGAAAAGTTAAGCAACATTTTCCAAAAACTGTTCCCTGGATGTCAACAGATGTAGCGAAGAGAGGTTCTCTGGTCAAATGAGTATGAGAATAAATAATAAAGTGGTTTTTTTAAAACAGTGGACTCCATTGTGCCTTTAATGTATAAATGTAGTACTATGAGTTTGCAAAAGGTGGTAAAAACATATATATAGTCATTTACCAAAACATGATCACAGATCCCTTCTACACAGTGTAAGGGACTAATGATTTGTGGATCAGCCACACTGATGATTCTCAGGAGAGATAAATGCACAGCTTTTTTAGGGGTCACTAATCTGGTTTACTTATCACAGAGTTTTCCAGCAAGTGGGCTTAGTCACACTGGTTTGTTGTGAATGGTTATAAGTTGACCAGTTTATTGATTTTCTCAAGGTTTGGGGTGGCTGTGCTGGGTTTGGGACATTAGCCCAGAGTCAGTTATAAGGATGGATAGTACAAAAAGAAACCTCCTCGAAAACAAGCCTTACCCCAGCATACCTTAAAACTATTTTTTTCCTCTCTATGCCTTAATACTAAAAAGGTTTGGATGTATTGACCCTGGGGCCTTTCTAATATTAAGTGTGCAAAGTCTCTGTTCCAATTGTATAACTTTTTGAGTGTTGGTTCCCTATCCTCCCCGCCCCTCAATTCCCATCATTGTCATGGAAATTTATAGGATTATGTCTTATCCATAGCTCAGGGGTGTTGAGAAGACTGGTGGTTGAGAACTACTGATCTACGTTCTGTTATTATCTCGTTGTAATACTGCTCTGTTTATTCTATACCTTCCTCTATGCTGTATGGAATTCTCTTACATCCTGACAAACTACCATCCTTGACCTCTTTGCCTACATTCTCTCCTGATTGTACCTGAAATCTATCCTTTAACCAAATGTACTACTTCCCCAGTAGCATTCTTACATGAAGGATTCTTATTTTCCAGTCACCCTAGTACTTTGCTATGTAGAGGTGGGGGTCTCTGTCCTCATTCCTCATTGTCACTTCTAAACGAAGTATTCTTAAGTCCCTTTCTTTTGAGACTTAGGGCATTTCATCTCCTACTTCTTGGTCCCTACCCATAGCCCACAAAAAACCTGGCCCTTGGCTCACTTTCCCTTTTCCTTGTAAGTTTTGCTGCTGTCCTGAGTTACTCTGGCTCCTTAGTTCCTTAGGATTTCTGTATATACAAGATAGGTCATCTGAGAATAGCTTTACTTTTTCCTTTTCCATATAGAAACTTTTTATTTTCCTTTTGTATAACTGCTCTGGTTAGAACCTCTGGTACAAAGCTGAATAGAACTGGTGAGAGCCAACAGATGTGTCTTTGTTTCTGATATTAGGGGAAAACATTCAGCCTTTTACTTTAAGTATAATGTTGGCTGTGGGTTTTTCATAGAAACTCTTTATCAGTTTGAAGAAGTTCCCTTCTATTCATAGTTTGTTGAGAATTTTTAATCATGAAAAGGTGTTGGATTTTGTTAAATACTTTTTCTGTACCTGTTGAGATAACCTCCCCCCGCCCTTTATTCTATTAATGTGGTATGTTCCATTCACTTATTTTCAGATGTTGAACTGACCTTACATTTCTTGGATAAATCCCACTTGGTCATGCTACGTAATCCTTTTATATATATTGCTCGATTCAACTTGCCTAGTGTTTTGTTGAGGATTTTTGTGTAAATATTTTTAAAGAAATTTTTGTTCTGTAGTTTTCTTTTCCTGAGATGTCTTTGTCTGGATTTGGTATCAGGACAACATAGATTGAATTGGGAAGTGCTTCTTCCACTTGTGTGTTTGGGAAGAGTTTGTGAAACATTTTTGTTCTTCTTTGACTGTTTTGTAGATTTCAACAGTGAAGTCATTTGGGCCTG